AATAGTTTGTACATGTATTATGCATAAAGGTGATGATTGAAAGAGGACATGCATTTGCTTGGTTAACCAGTTTTTGGGTTGCTGTGGAGAAGAAGGCTTTTTTTTCTTCCTAACACCCATTGAGTTGGAGGCTACATTAACTCACACAACAAGCGCCGTAGCAGACAGCTTTTAGGAAAGATCCGATCCAGAATTGGCCGTTACCAAAGTCCCGGGTAGGCAGACCTGATTTTGTTTCTGGATGGGCAGCATCTGTCTTTTTCTTTTTCTTTTCTTTTCTTTTCTTTAATTCCTCTCCTTCCAACCCTAATATTCTTTTCTCAGTCTGCTGTATCTTCTCCTAAAAAGGGAAGGTACAGTGAATGTTTCAGAATTGTGTTTGGCTTGCTTGCAAGTGAAGGGAAAAAAAATGTGATTGTAGCTCTCCTACAACAGATACTAAAGGATGTTCAATATCTGCCACTAGGATTAAGATAAAATGTAGTTTTTCCTTTTGCCCAATTATCTTTGGTGGGATCTAGCAGTTTAAACTAGCAGTGCATCATTTTTTCATTGATTCTTTTTCTTGGATTCTAAATTGATACTGTCTGAAAAATCTTTTCTTCTTTTTTGTACCTGTTAATTGTGTGTAATAAGACAGAGGAAGCAATAATTTTAGGTTGCCAGATAAACTAGATTGTCTCTGGAAACTGACTCCAAGGTTGAGCCTCGTTTTGTTGTTGGTTTCATCCTATCTCATTATAGCAGAACTTTCCTTTTTGTTTTTCGGTATTATAGTCAGGGTATCTCCTCGTACGTAGTTTACGCTGTTGTCTGAGTGGGATATGAAGGATGTACTGCCTTACATACGCCTAGAATTGGCATTTGAATAAAAGAATAATGCTTCTTAAAGGAATCACATTGACATTGACTTCCGCTGGTTTAATTACTACTACGTTAGTACGTTTGGATGCTTGTTTCGACGCTTTATCATTTCTATTCTTAAACGCTTCTCACGGTTCGATATTAGTTGTGCCATAACCTCGACTTGCTCTAAAGCCGCCTTCCGGTTGATGGGGTTCTTTTTTCTCTCGGCTGTGAGGCCGTAATTACCTGATCCTTTGTTAGAAGCACTGTAGATAGATATGGAGGAAGTACATTAATTGATCGAAGGTAACATGCTCATAAAACAATTAATCATACCTTGCTTTGAGGGTGATGAACAAACATCGTAACCAACGAGGACTCTAGGGAGGACACACAGTTAACTTTCCTTGTTTGGTGGGGGGTCTACCGTCCATCGCACATCACTGACCGTGAACCATGACCATTTTCATATGGAACTCTGGGTCATCAATTAACCAATTAGATGTTATTACTTTCGTTTCTTAATATTAGAATTAATTTGAAGAAACTAATAGAATTAGTTAAATTGGTTATTTTATCATAAATATGTATTGATTTGTGTTAGTAATTAACTAATCTTGTGTTAATATCTCCGACATATCCTTAAATGAAAATGAGACCCTGCAAATGTCCTTCAGCAATGAATGGATAAATCATAAATGAAAGGGAGTGGGGGCTTGAGCTGTAATTCAATGCAACCCGCGATTACGTAAGCAACTCTACTCAATTGCTTTCTCCTATCAATGTGTAATAAATGTTATTCATACCAAGTAGCACTATTTGGATGTATTTAGATGGAATTAAAACCATAATTTTAAAAATATTTTTATAATATACAAAATAAATATATAAAAGAATTTATCTCGATTTATGAAAAAATACTGTTCAGAAACACTTCTCATACTTCCAAACACCTTTTTAAGTTTCCATCCATTTGAAGTAGGATCTCTCAATTTTATGCTTTTAATAATTAAAAAAATGGCAATTCGGATTTCGAAAGGGCACCCTCAGACAGTCAAATGTTTGATAGGGCTCTAGGCCTAGGGTTGAGGATTCAGTATCTTTTGCTTCAAAGACTGCAACTTCAAGCTGTGACACTTATACATCAAGTATGGCTCACCCCCAAGCTACTGAACAATGGTGGAGCCAGAATTTAGTTATGAGAGTGACGTAATTCAAATGTATATAAATATTATGCGTAAAATATATATATACGCTATCTCCTCTTCTTAATATAAGAATTAAATAAGTGAATAACTATGTTAAACAAAATAGATTAGAGTTTTATATTTAAGGTCAAATTAAATTTTTTACTAACTCTTATATAATGTCATATAATATTAAGAAAAAAGTTAAAAATAATGGGATACCAACGGTCACCTATAAGGAGAGATAACAGTCTTCATTACAACAAATTATGCCAACACGAAGAGGGGAGCTCAAAACCCTTAAAAAAAAAAAAGCAAATTAAAGATCCAATTTTTTTTGAGATAATTAATCTACAGCTCTTTATAGTTTCAACTAATTTGAATCAGGTCCTTATAGTTTTTTTTCTTTTATTAGGTTCTTATACTTTCATCTGTTTTTAATTAGGTCATTGTATTTATTTTTCTTTTTATCAAGTCCTTATAAGTTCACCTTATTTTTAATTAAGTCCCTGAATTTTTTATTCTTTATTTTATAAATTCTAATAGTACTATTATATAAACATAAAATAGTATATATTATTTAATATTAGTTTATAAACAATAATATTCTAAAGATATTGAATTATTATAATGATTTTAATTTTTTCAGCAAAAAAAATTAATTGTTCTAAAGAATTTTCCTGAATTAATTAATTCTATTACTTTTTTATTACAGAATTATTAATTTAATTTAATTATTAATATTTTATATTTTAGTATTAATCTATTTAATTAAGCTTATATTTAATTAATAAATAAAAATTAAAACTACATGGACCTGATTAAAAATTTAGTGAAATTATAAGGATTTAATTAAAAGAAAAATAAATACAAGGATCTAATTAAAAAAAGGTAAAAGTATAAGGACCTGATAAAAAAAAACTATAGGGATCTAATTTAAAATTTGTTAAAATTATAAGGACTTGCAGATTAATTAACTTTTTTTTTGTTGATAAAATTAAAGATCCAATTTGTAAAGGCATTTAGTGTGAGCTTAGAGATGATGCATTATGTGGAATAATGGACACAGTAAACATCGTCAGAGACGGAGGCTGGTGGAAGGCTGTCTTCAATTCTAATGCGCAGGTGGGCCCATTTCTCATTTGTGTTCCCGCTTTCTTTCCTCATCACCCTTCCTTCAATACTTCATCCACATCACAGGCCGTCCGATTAATTGGTGGGACCCACCTTTCCCACCACGTCACCATCCTCAGTCAACTCTCAAGTCAGCATGTCGCCAATTAATTCAAGCACACCTGTCCTTCGGCTCTTTGGCCAGTTGAGATCCACCACGGGACCTTTTTTTAAAAAATATATATATATTTCATCAAAACAAATTCATTGATTGTTTTTTTTTTATTGAATTATCAATGCACTCTATCTAAGTGTTTTTTAGTTATAATTTGAGTGTTCCTTTAAAATTGTATATTAGCTCAGAGTTAGTTAATTTGAGTAGATTAAAGAGATTAATTAAATCTGTCTTTCCTAAAATATTCTTACTAATCAAATATATTGACTAGAATTAGAGTTACTATAAAGACTACCTTGGAAAGAAATAGATAAATATGAAAAAAAATTAGATTGAGATCTTATATTTAGAATCAAAATAAAAGTTAAATACTCCTCCGGTCATAATTATAAGACCCAATTGACTTATTTGAGGAGATTAAGGAAGTAAGTTAAGTTGGTTATTTATAATAAATAAGTGTTGTCATTCCTAAAATATCCTTACTAATTAAGTATATTGGCTAAAACTATCATTATTAGAAGGATTATCTTGGAAAAAAATGCATAAATATAAGAGACAAAATGGATTGGGTCTTATAATTAGGACCAAATAAAAAGTCAAATTGGGTCTTATAATAAGGACCGGAGGAGTAGGTTCTTATATTGAGAATTTGAGATAGTATTTTATAAGAAAAATTATTAAAAAAAACCCATTGAAATATTTATCGTAAAAAAAAAACCCTGAACTTTGTTTAGGTACTCGTATTTTTGACGGGGTGCAATATATTTTCAATTATATGTAGATATCTTTTTATTTGAAATAAGATGGGTGCAACTTATTGTGCAATTCTTCTTCATTTGTATACAACACATTTTTAACTATAGACAAAATTTTTTAAAAGAAAAAAAGTTTGTATATAATTAAAGATATATAATTGAAGAAGTTATACCTATTCTAAGACCCAGGTCATTAAACGAATTTCTAGTATTTTTAAGTAATAAATATTTTAATGAGAGATTTTTTTTGCATTTTGTCTATTTAATAACTATAGTGATAACTTATATAATTGGCTATATTTTTGTTTTCGCATCTCGCATTGGTGGGACTACCAGCCACCACAACTAAATTGAGTCTAATTTGGTGATCAGATAGATCTATTTTAAAAAGAAATGCTCTCTTCAAAATTTAGGGGAGTTTGGTAATTTTAAAAAAAATAATTTTATAATATATAAAATAAATGTATGATACGATTTTTGTTTCGACTTTTCTAAAAGCTATCTTTCAACGTTTTAAGCAAAATACAAAAATAAATTGAGGATGTAAAATGGCGAGAAAAAAAATGGCAGGCATATAATGTTGAGAGAGACATGAGACATGACCGACAAACATGAAGCTTCACTTGAGCCGAGCCGAGCCGAGTGGCCCATGATAGCTCCTCAACAAACTTCTAGAGTTCTACCATTAGAAGTCAGGGAAGTAATTATTAATTTGTTATAATTCCAAAATGTGAACATGACTACATGGAGAGTTTTCAAGGCTGAAAAACATGGGTGTTTGACAGGAAGGCTGAGGCGCCCAGCTCAAGTCAACTGCCGAAGCGGATTGCAAACCCCGCTTCTCTCTCTCTCTTCCTCACCTCATTATGATCTGTGAAGCGAGGGTTGGTCGTCACTTTCAGGCTTAAAACTGATAGCTAGTTCATCTCCCTCTACCTCACCATTTTCAGAATAAAACACTTCTCAAACTCTTATCATCTTCACTACTCTGACCGTCTTTCCTCCTTTCCCACTATACGTCCCTCTCAACTCAGGTCTCTCTTTGCATTTTCTGTCACTATCCAAGCAAGTTACAGAAGGCTCCTCTTTCAACCAGTCATTCTGCGTGTAACATTCTACATTTTTAGCTTTTTTATCATAAGATTTTCATGCTTTTAATGTATGTGGCACTAATATGTTCTATCAAAATCTCATTTAATAAGTGTCTGAAAATTATCCCACCTTTTTGTCCTTTTTCATAGCTTCATCGAAAGCTGACATCCTGCTGTTCTGGAGCTCAATTCTGATCTAACATGCCAACTTTTGATTTGAACCTTTGGATTATCCTTGAAAGGTCTGAAATCTAGGCTTTGTCTTCCAGACTAATCAAATTCCTTTGCTCTGTTCCTCCGGCTCTGTCCATTGACACAGAAAAGCGCTTGCAATTGACGTCCTTCTGGGGTATAATATGCCAGCCAATCTTCTTGGAAGCTTTTGAATTTACCCTATTCCTTTATTACTTTGACGCTTTTATGTGATGCTGATACTCTGTTCTGCTTCAATCGGATGTTCATTTAAAGGTCTGAAAATTATCCTCCCTTTCTGTCCTCTTCCTTCTTTCAGCTCACTCTCCGTGGCTTCTGCGGCGCAATTCAGATCGTATTGTGTCAGCCAGGCCATTTATGAAGCTTCTAAATTTCCTGTCTTGTTCTTTAGACCAGTCAAACACTTCTTCCTTTTTCCTACAGTCTTCTTCACAGCCACACAAAGTGTCAATCATTGAAGTCCTTTTCAATCACAATATACCAACCAATCTGTTTTGAAGCTTGTAAATTTGCTCTGGAAGTTTGGAACTCTGAGCGTTGTTCTTTACACCAATTAAAACCCTCATCCTTTTTCATTCAGTCATTCTCGCAAACAAAAAAGGTGCAATGCAACACCCGACGTTATTTCAATTCACGAAAAGCCATGGATTTCCGGAACAAGAACAGCTCAAGTGTCCACGTTGTGATTCCACGAACACCAAGTTCTGCTACTACAACAATTACAACCTCTCGCAACCACGCCATTTCTGCAAGAGTTGCAGAAGGTACTGGACCAAAGGAGGCACTCTCCGCAACATCCCCGTTGGAGGTGGAAGCCGGAAGAACACAAAGCGATCATCCACCGGCGCCAAACGATTATCCGCAACGCCATCTTCATCATCATCTTCTCCGTCAGTTTTGTCGGCCATAGGAGGCGCAGACCCGACCCGTGTTTATACCGACTCGATGGGTGGGAATTTCAGTTCACTTCTGACATCATCATTTTCTGGGCATCAAGGAAGTGTTCTGGAGGGTCTGAATCCAAATGGATCGGGTCTGAAAATGGCGGAAGCGGGTGAATTTGGGGTGAAAGTGAGTTCAGTTGAGCGGGTTGTAGATCCGGGTTCGGAGATGCAGAGAAATGGCGATGCAGAGAGGTTTCTGGGTTCGCAAAATGCAGATTCGAGCTATTGGAATAACGGCAACGAGCGGTCTTATCTTGCAATGTATACATCAGGCTCAGGCTTCCAGTAGAATCAGACAAGAACAAATTTTTCTTCTGCTCAACCCAGCAGCTTCCTCATTAGTCGGATTCTGATCTTGATACTTCAACTCTGGTGAAGTTAGTAATCATAATTCAGACGTTTCTTTCTGATAATATCAGCATGTGTATACTTCGATGGAGAAGAAATAGATGGTGCTGGGGTGAATAGTGAATGCAAAGTGAGGGAGGATCTGATTATGAAAATTGCTATTGTTTTGCATGTAATTTGTAGTACATTTAACTAGACGTGGATTTTGTGTATTTAATTTTAAATTTAATATAAATTATATTATTATAACTTTTGAGTAATGCATTACGCATTTTGTAAAATTTATTTTCATGTATTAGATTTCATATTTTATAGTAATATATTAATTGCGAACCTTGAGTTTTTTTTAACAATTATGTGCGACATATTTGGGAAAATTTGATACAAAGGGGTAAAAATACAAATGAAATTTATTTTCTTTTATCTTTCTTTAACTAAATATATAAAATTAACTCATAACTATAGAAAATCTCAATCTTTCAAGTCTGTTTCTTTTTATTGTATTTTACTATTTTTTTCCAAAGCATGAGATTAGAATAATTTTTTTAAAAAAAAATTTACCCCTAATTTAGGAGGAAATCTACACACCAATATATACCCACCGCATACATGTACTTGGAGTCTTATCCACAACCTCTCTTTATTTAGTAATGTGTAATTATCATTTGAGTCAAATGCTTTAGAGTAATATTTTGATTTAAGTTGTCGTTGTTTTAGGCCAATTTTTTTTTTCATATTTCAACTTTTATTAATCGTAGATGTTGGTGAGAAGAAAAAAGTGTGACCAGGGGCCTGGACCCTAATTTGATCTGTGTATAATGTTGGGTCATTAGCTATAGTCCCATAGAATTTGTATGGTAAAATTTGGGGTCATAAGGTTAGCTTCCTTCTTTAGAGTTCATTGACGTTACCAATAAGAGTTAGTCCAATTAGTTAAAAGTTGACTCATAATCTATAAAGTCATGAGTTTGAATCCCACTATCAATATGAGGACCTTATTGGTGGGCAATTTGAAAGTACTTCTGTAAGCGCTCTGTGAGCCTAGAGACATACCCTGATCTTAGTGAGCTCTCAGGATCCAACTCGAAATTTTTATTATAAAAAAAAAAAAAGAATTCATTGGCGTTGGTGGTAGAGAAGTGCATCTTTATTGCATGAATTGATTGAAGTGCACTTGAGCTTATCAGTTCAATCATTCAGTGCGGTCATCTCATTAATTATCGCTTGGCCTTTCAAATTAAATGGGTGTCGTCTTCTTTCTAGATATGGAAATCTTGTGACATAAATAAATGTATATCAAATTTTGTCAACAAGTGAGATGACATGAGTGATAAAAGAATCCGTAATTTTTTAGGTCATTGGATATAAGCTTTGTGAATTATAAAAACCATGTTAGGATAATTTTTTTTATTTATAATAAATAGATATTGTTCTTCTTAAAATATTACTCCCTCCGTTCCTTATTATAAGAGACAAATAACCGAAGTACGTTGATCAAAAAAACAGTTAAAATTAGTTAAAAACAATTAATGTGTAAAAAGTATAATTTTTTTCCAAAAATGCCCTCATTAATAAGGAGAGAGAGCATGAGAGAGAACAATTAAATTATTAAAAGAAAGAGAAGTGAGAGGGAGAGAGAGTGTAAGTTGGAGATAATAAATATGGGTAAAATAGTAAATCAACGCAAAAAAGTAGAGACAACTTGTAAGTGTCTCTTATATATAGGAACATGTCATAAGCATCAAATGTCTCTTATAATAAGGAACGGAGGGAGTATTAATTATGTATATTAAACTACCACTTAATAAAAACTCATTAAAATATACATTCATCATATGGACTTCTTGAAGACAAAATAAATAAATATTGAAAACAAAACAATTGAGATTTTATATTTAAAACTAAATTGAATCTCTAATTAGCTTTTAAGAAGGACTAGAGTATATCTAGATGCTAATTTCCCATTTGAATTTTCCTCTTCCAAGTTGAATTCCTGAGTCTACTCTATATAAGCTGGCCAAGCAAATAGAATAGCAAGAAACGCGTCAACACAATCAACCGAAGCATCAAGCACAAGACACAAATGAAAAAGGAGTTAACTTCATAATAAATCTAAGCCTAAATAGTTTAACGATCCATAGGTTCCAAACAACCAACAAACATCAAAATGAACATAGAGAAGAGAGAAGAGACTGAACGAAACAATAGGTGAAATTCAAATTCCTTTCATTTTGCCTTCCCTGTAGTCAGCAAGAACCACCTCACTTTCATTCTGTCCTCGCTCCACCCAAAAAAAAAAACAAAAAGTTAAGACCGCTTCCAACGGCAGCCGGTGGACAAATATATGAAGGTTCTACACTAAAAGGCTCGAAATGTCGCGTTTAGCATTAAAAACGTCGAAAACGTCTGTCCATGTTCGGCACCGTTCGCGCCTGGCAGCTTTACATCCACCCACGGCTGAGGAGAAGAGACGCCTTTTCCATGAATTTCAAACTAAGCCACTGCCGATCGAGACTTCATCCACTGCTAGTTGTACCTCAGAATCCTTTTTCTCCTACTCGAAACTTCTTTGCTTGACAGAGTATGCGCAGTTACTTCTCTATTTCATTGGTGGCAAGGTCACAAATAATTTTTGAGCATTGGAACCAAGTAACACTCTACATTACCAATCATCAAATTCTTGTGATGCAATTTCTGCTCAGTGGCAGAGATATTAACAAAAATAGAAAGAGCTCGACAAGGTCAATGGCAGAGATCTTTCGTCAAGAAGTGAACATATATTTATCAAACTTCGAATTGGATTAGTTGTGCAAAATCCACATGCGAGAAATTGACAAATTTCTGATGATCGTGAAAGAAGGGACATTCCATGAAGAGAAAAGGGCCCGGAGGGGTTTGGGATAGCAATTCAACTCAAATCTTTATACAATTGTTTCTAACTTAAAAAAGAATACCAAATTAATTGAATAAGATTAATTCTAAGTGACAAGCTTCTGACAAGCATCCAACGCAACTATAAAAAGTACAACACGAACAATGATCTTGTATACCACTCCTCTGACAATCAGCTTCCTCAAGGACAATCACAAGGCCCCCTCATAACCATTACACAGGTACAACACGAGCCTTGTACAGGATTATATACGCCATATGCCAATCACCTGAACATAGATGGGAGAGTGATTCTCAATCACATTAATCCTCATGAATCACAAACTAGATAGAGGAAAGGATTCCTGAACCTATATTGCATTGTGATAGAAATGAAGTTAAGTTGTTGATTTTTAGTTTCATTCAATTTTCAATTTAGTGATGTGGCCAATCATCTGTTATATTAACACTATAGTTTGCACATCACTTATGTCATCTCATTCCAAACACTAGGCCAACAAGGCATCACACGCCAGCCGGAGAGTGAATTTTACCCCACCATCCGGCACTATCCCTTTCATTGTCAATAAGCTTTTGGCCGTGCAAACAAAATTCCACAAGATACAGCAAGGTTTAAGATTGCTAATCAAATTAATTTTGTTCAATCTAGAGGGGCTCAATTTCAAACTTCAAAAAAAAAAAAAAGGGTAAACAAACTCAGGAAACCAACTCAACAAATGAACTGATCAGTCCGTTTGAGAACAAGAACATGTATGGAATATTTAACTCAGCTTTCATAGTTTTCCAGAAGGTTTATGGTAGTGAAGCTATTATAGGTTCCGCTAAAAATGTTTGTATATCCATATTTTAAAACTGATTTGGCATATCCTTACCTCCTCCAGATAGTTTAGTGATGTCTTCTTCCACTCGTGGTTTGGGATTATCATCATCATACTCAATCCATTTTCCTGCCAACAAAAAAATATTGATTTCACAACTTCGAAAAGACCAACTTGAATATCAAAGAAATGTAGATATGCTTCAAAGAACGAACCACTTTCTTGCTTGACCCACGCACCATAATGTCCTGAATCAGCACTCCGACCCTTGTGGGTCAATACGGCAACCAAGTCATAAATTCCAGTCATCTGTGTTTCTTTTTCACCTATTGACAGCAGCATAGGTAAACAGAAGGAAAAATGTTGGCAATGGAAAACAAATTCAGTGGAAGGATTTCATGAGTTTTTCACCTTCCTCCATTGGAGCTACAGACGGTTCCCCCCCTGCATTTGATGATCCCTGAAACAATACAAAAGAAACTCTAAGCAATTATACTCATGCCATGTATCTATACACACTTTATAGAGTTGGCTTGTCTCATCACCTCAGTATCAGACACTTTTACATCGTTTTCTTTTTGAGCTGAGGTTTTCTCATTGACTTTTAGACCAAGCCTTTTGCCTTCTTCATTTCTTAGAATCTGTTTTACAATGCCAAAACGAAAATAGTCACCTTAAATCATTAAACAAATTGCCCTTTTATCAAAGAGACTGCCATGAGATTTAAATGCAAAAAAAATGTGGATACCTGTCGAGGAGCTTCCAACTTCTTACGTAGATCTTCCGAACAAAGATCATAAACATCCAACTCAAGAGGATAATCCACTTTCTGTGATGAGGAAACCCAATTATGAATTGTGAACAAACATATATAAAGTCTGAGAAAGCAAACAAAAACCTCTCAGGAAGCCCATTTCTTCCTCCACTTCCCCCAACAACCCCCCCCCAAAAAAAAAAACTCCTACAAGAAGGAAGCCGTACCCGCAAAATCTTAGCCTTCTGGTTAGATTCCCTCTTCCAGAAAAAACGTACAAACTGAATGGTCAAGTACCTTGAAAATGCAATGTTACAACGACACTGAGAATGAAATAAGCAAAGATATACAAATATATAAAGTGAAAGAGAAAAAACTAATGCAAAGCATCATAAAAGCACCAGTTAAGAAACCAGCGAAAACACATGTGAACTACTGCTAGACCATGTCATGGGTCATCATATAGACTGTAGACCATAATGATTCAAATCGAAGTTCAAAACTGGTAGACATTGAAATTTGTATTCATAACTAAGCATTTTTCCTTAAGCATAGTAAATCATGGAAATGAAAAACAGTACTTAAATCTTCTTTCATTTAACAAATAAATCTTGGCAAACTCAATTTAGCATGAACAACAAAACACTCAAAATAAACAAGACCAAAATTTGGATATTTACATTCATGGCTTGTCCCCTTTTCATTTCTTAAATGATTTCCTCTTTTCGTGGGAAAGAAGAAGGAGGGGAGGTGTTGGTTGTCTCTATGGTCACCACCACAGCCCCTCTTGGAACCTTAC